ACACACACACACACACACACACACACACACACACACACACACATATGCAGTTTTTTTGTTAGTTTCATTATTTTTTATTGAAAGAAACAGATTTAGAAAAATGCTTATTTTGCCTGAATTTGTTATTATGTTATTTATAAGAATTGTTTTTATTTTGATCTTTAACATTTCCACACACCTTTATATTTTGGTCCGTCTGATGATGTCATTTTTAAATGACTGATGTCTTGATCAGTTACTCAGTGCTTGAGTAGCCTTTTCTTTTTTTTACCAAATACTATATTTACTCYTACWTGAGTCACTTCTTTTTAYTTTASTTKAGTAAAAATACGTTGAAGTAGTGCTACTCTTATGTGAGTAAAACTTTGGGGTGCTCTACCTATCGCRGTCTAGGTCCGTGGTTCCCAAAGTTAGGGTCAGGACTCCACTRGAGCTCACTAAATGTTGATATCCAGAATAAAAACAACATTTTAAATGTGATTCTTTCTATGACCGTAACACTGTAATTGTTAAAAAAGGTGAAAATAATAATCATGAATGGAAAAAATAATGTAATCGGTTTCAATCTGAGCTATTTGTGTTTTCATTACATCATTATGAGTTACTATGTTAGGCCCATTCTGACTTATGACATTTGGTTACTTTATTTTCTGTCACTAAAAATCTAAAAATAAAATGCCCAAGTTACTACGTAGATGCATTTATTCAAATAAAGTCGAACAGAAAACAAATACACTAAGTTTCATGTCTTAAAAAAATAGATATTTTAAAGCTTTTATGTTCTTTTTCCAGCTCAGAGCAAGACAAGGCCGACTGGATTAAGGTACAGAGTATAATCCTGTCAAATATGTTCTTATTTTGTGTGCTTTCAAACAACTTTTGAAAGACATAAATTCCCTTTTTTTATTTTCTTTAGGCTCTCCAGGAGACCATCGAGATCTTCCAACAAAAAAACGAGTCATTCAAGAACGCCCTGAAGGACGTAGAAGACGTGTCGGTTAGTGTGGCRTCAGAACCAAACGCGGCGAAGCTGCCGGCGTCTGTCTGCTCCCTCACCCTGAGTGTGTTCTTCTGAAACAGGAAGCYGAGCTGGGAAAGCGGGCCCCTCGATGGATCCGCGACAACGAAGTGACGATGTGCATGAAATGCAAGGAGTCTTTCAACGCCATCACACGGAGGAGACATCACTGCAGAGCCTGCGGCTACGTAAGTTACTGCTGTCGTGTTTAAAGCCTTCCTCCTAAACTTCATAACTGTGAAACTAAAACAGTACTTCTGTAGACGGTTCATAAATTATATTAATCTGTTAATGTGCGGCGCCTCTCGACTGTTGGAGCGTGTACAATGCTARTATTTCCTGGTCTTACAGGTGGTGTGCTGGAAATGCTCCGAGTACAAGGCGCACCTTGAATATGACGGCTACAAGATGAACAAAGTCTGCAAAGACTGCTACTCGATCCTGTCAGGACAAGGAGTYACTGAGGACAAGAAGAAAGGCATTCTAGAGGTGACGTTTGAATAAATACTGTATGTAAATACTGTATGTGTTCATTAATAAATAAGAAAAGTTCACATCAGTCAAAGGCGTGTTTGGTTGCAGTTTTATGTGTAAATTTTAGTGTCCTAAGAATCAAACAAATACCAACAATAGAGCAGAACAACTTTATTTAATATTGTTATCCTTGTTTTGGTTTAAATTGGATTTCTTCTTTGCAGATTGAAGCCAGTCAGTTTGCGGTCAGCAGCATCATCTGTGGCTCCCTGCAGTACTCTGAGAAAGGCAAAATTTGGCAGAAGGTCTGGGGTGTGATCCCTGAGAAGGAGTGTCTGGTGCTCTACCTCTACGGAGCTCAACAGGTGATGCAGCAAATACGAGAAACGAGTCTGTGCGGTCACTGAGTGGGAGGGTCTCGGTGTGTGGGCGGAGTTTGTTATAGACCTGATAGATTGACTATTTTGGGTGGGGCTTAAGGAAGCCATAACGATTCAGTTGGATGAACATGTGTAACAATTCAGCTCAGTCGAAGCGTCCAGAAAGTGCCTGTAATTTTTAATATGAATAATAAATAATAATATTAGTCATAACTCGAGACCGGAAGGTGCTAGCCACAGGAAATTTGAACATATTGCATGTGCAACAATTCAACTCGGTCAAAACRATATCACCTTGTCTGGAAAAAAGTTATTTTTTAAAATATGACTATAACAGTTTGCCCAGGCAGGAATTTTATTTCCTGCGAAAATGAAGTTTGAATGCAAAAAAAGCTAAAACTAGCAAAAAAATAAATAAAATCGTTGAAAAGTAGCTGAAAAAGCAGAAAAATGCTAAAATAAGCAGAAAAAACAGCTTGTTGCTGAATTAGACAGAAAATAGCTGAAATAAACACAAAAAAGGGGAAATTAGCTTGAAAAAAAGCTCAAATTAGCAAAAGAAAAAAGTAGTTGAACAATACCTGAAAAGACGGAAAACAGCTGAGATTAGTAGAACGCAGCTAAAAGGAGCATAAAAAGCATAAACTAGCAGAAAGAAATTGAAATAAGCCAAAAAAGCTGAAAAGTATAACCAGAAGTGTGATATGAGCAATAAAAGGTTCTGAACAACACAAAGGGTTTGAAGGAAACTCTCATTTTAAATAAAAATTAAAAATCTTCTAACTTACCCTACATGTCAATCTGAAAAATCACGGTTTTGCCAAACCCCGCCCACACCAGAGAACCTCCGCCTTCATTCCGAACTCCGCCCACAACCAAGATTCTCCGCCTATAATCCAGACTCCACAATCTCGGTTTTCCAAACTCCGCCCACACAGATCTCTGCCAATCATAATTTTGTTAAACTCCGCCCACACAGATCTCAGCCAATCATAATTTTGTTAAACTCCACCCACACAGCCAAGAAACTCCCCCTGTGTGCTGCAGAGACTCCTGCTTGACAAAGACACATTCATTGGTGTGAGCATACAGTACATGTTACAGTGTTTTATTATTGATCTGCTCTGCCTTCACTCACAGGACGTGAAGGCCCTGTGCGCCATCCCCTTACTGGGCTACAACGTGGAAGATAACCCCCGACACACGGACCCCCCAGCCAGCTTCCGCCTGTGCCAGTCCAAGTCTGTGCACAACTTTGCTGCCGAGTCTGAGGAGGTCAAGCAGCGCTGGATGAAAGTGATCCGAGAGGCGGCGACCGGAGAGATCCTGGCCCGACCCGAGACTAACGGCAGTGCCAACACCATGGACCACAACAACACGCAGGAAGCCAAYGCAGACGGCACATAACCGGTGTGCGGTTTCACAGCCTCCAAACTGCTGTTCTGGACCGGTCGAGATGAAAGGGACGTGTGGACAAAATGCAAACACTTTCCCTCCCTTAACGTTCTTGACTCAAAGCRGACCGATTAGTGCTGGATAAGCTTTCCTTCCACTTCTGCTGTCTCCTGGATTTCCTCCTGTTAGAACTGTGCTGGATTACTAACAAACATTTCTGGTGCAATCAACACTAGAGCAGAGGAGCTTCAGGAAGCCCCCCCAACGTGCACTATCAAGGACAGCTCAAACTCTTCAGAGCCCCTCTAGAACTTCCCCAGCCGCTTTGAGGATCAGAACAAACGGACGATCCAAAACTCTGCTGGTGCTGTAATTTTATGTTCTTGTATAGTCAACATTTTTTTTATTGAAAAAGGAACATKTTTTATGTACATAAATTAGTCACAAGCTTTGCTTCTATGAAAAAGAAACCATCAGAATAAGATCATAACGATGGTCTCATCTCTCCTCTCTTATCTCCAACTCAAAGTCTCTTAAAGATGGTGTTTATTCTGATGCTGAAGGAACAAATACTCCAAACTGAAACTGTTAGAGCAGTTCGATCATCCTAAAGTTGGTTGAGTTTAAAATATTGTGGTGCCAGATGAATGGGGAGCTATATTATCTATTGTATGAGCAGTTATACAAAAGTTAATTTGTTCTGGATATTATAGTTTCTCTGTTCATGGCTCATGTATTCAGTTTCACATCTTTTGTTACACTAATCCAACATTAATCTGTAAATCCAACCCAACAAGAACCATTTGCTGTAAGGATTTACTTCTGTAGGCGAAACGTAATGAACAATTCACACAATGCAGCTTCTTTATATGTTAAATCCCTGTTAATCCATTTATTTCTAAGTCCATTAGTTTTTAAACAAAGATTTGTTTTATCCTATCACAAGTTTAAAACAYGTGAACTACAGCAACACTGGAGGGACACTATAGTATGTTTGCTGATCAGGACAAAGGACAAGCAGTGCACTACCCTTCAAATAAATTAATTTAAAGGTTAAACTGGTTTAGATGCCCCGTTAAAATACTGACATTTCTCAAAGGATGAATAGGTAGTGGCCGTTAACAAAATTAAAGGTGAAAAGTCATAAACCTTCATTAAGTTTTAATGCTTCACACAACGCTATGGAGTGTTTGTACTAAAATGGCACATTGCAATCATTTATTTAGAAAAAAGAGTAAGAAAAAAAAAGTAATGTTTCTTGGCCGTCACAGTCCTCGCTTCCCAGGGAGAGATGAGCAACGATTATTATCTTCTGAGTTCAAAAGTTCTAATTTAAAAAGCAGCACAATCAGGCGGGCTAATGCAGCAAATGTAAATGTGTTTTTCAGGCTGTAATTAGTTTTATTATTTAAAGTAATTTATAAAGCATGAACTTGGCACAGAATTGTTCCTTACAAGTCGACTTAAGTGCAACTTTTTCTTTTCTCTTCTTTTYTGTTAACGTCAGAAAATGCTAACCGGTAACAGTGCTGGACAAACTGTGAGGTGAAATGTGCCTCTTTTATTCAAAGTGAGTGTGKGCTCACTTCTGTCTCACCTCTCTGGACTCTTTTTCCCCTCAGTTGTCAAATAAAAACAAAAAATGAAGAGCACAAAACTTCTGTCTGGTAAATATGAATGTAGAGCTTCAGTGTCCTCTAACCCTCTTTCCAAAGGTTTTGAGAATCTTTGCACTTTACCGTCTTAAAAGTGTACCTTCAAAAGAAATAAATTACATTCAGTGATTTGTGCGTCTCTAAATTTGGTGTTTTGAATGAGTGTTTGGTCTTGTGTAAGAGCTTGTACTTTCACAAAGTATTGTTTTGGTTCCTTGTTTTGCTTCTCATGAGTCAACTCTTTACAGGGTTATAAATTGTTTATCAGAAGGCGACACAGAAGARACGGTACATTCTGAAATCTCAAGACTATCAAGGCGTTCTGATGCAAAATGAGCAGAAATCATGATTGAAGTTATTGTCTAAAAATATTAAGAGTTAAATTTTTTAATTAATTTGAACCACATTTTAAAATTACTGATTTTTATTAGTACATTTTTTTTGTTT